CTTGGTAGTCTGGCACCCTGCTGCTGCCTCTCTACAATCCCAGTGAGAGACTTGTCTTGCCCCTCGCTTAGGAACACTGAGGCAAAGAACTCATTGAGGAGTTCAGCCTTGTCCCCCCTGTCCATCACCAATTGCTTATGCCCATTTAGTAGAGGTCCTATTCCACCCTGGGCCTTCCTTTTACTCCCTGTGATGTGAAAGCAGAGGTGTATATGTGTATATATATCCATTCATATACACAAAAATATATTTTTCCAGAAAAAAATCATTTGTACTACACATAAGTAGGTGCCAAAGTGCTGCTCAAAAGTGTGTTTATGGAGTAGCTGTACTAAAACTTGCATCAGTTTAAAAAAAAGGTAACATGTATCACTTCTGAATAAACTAAGTGCATGGTACTATATGCACATTGCTACAGCCATATTTAATTTCAAGGTTATTGTTTTCAAATTTGCTCCTCATGTCTACGTGCTCAGAGAGAATAGGATCTCACAGTAAGAAGAGGGGGAAGCGGCTACCAGGGAAAAAAGTTGGGGGCAAACAGAGAGCAAAGGGGCTGCCTGATCCCCCAGATTTATTTTCCCTCCTGTAGCAGTGGGAGGGGAACAAATTCAAGGCAAACCTCCAATAATTAGATTCTATACCTGGAAAATTATAACAAATTTATAAATTTTCCATATAGAAAATCTAAGTATTGGGGTTTTATAATCAGGATCGGCTTCCATTTGAGTAAATACGGTATTTCTTTAATGTAGATCCTTACATTTTTTTAAAAACTATATAAATAAATCCTATGAAAATGGACAAAATACTACATTGTAAAGAGAAAAACTGCATTTTACATATTTCTTGAGAATCAAGTGTGCTAGCTACAACTGAAGCCCTGTGAATTAACTGTCATCTTGACACTGGTATTTATGTAGGTACACAGGGGAAGTAAGAAAGGTACTCTCCGTTCCTTGATTTCAGCCAGGTCCAGTCTGTAGGGATTGCTCCCTCCATGAGTCCCCAGAGGCACCACACTGCCCACTGTACTGGTTGGATGTACAAGAGAAATAGGTTGGGTCATCCTCAAGTTTCTAACCTGAGTTAGGTTACTGTATTTGTTTAATTCAAATATGCCTCTTCCACTATATAGGCATTGCAAAATAACTCCGCAGTCCTTAGAGTTCCAGAGCCAGATATATGATGCAGTAAAACAAAACCCTCTGAACGACAAGAAGACCTTAAAGACATCTGCAAACTTGAGACTGGATTCACTGTGACAGACATGTACTTTTCACTACATGGACACAAAGGAGCCACAGCATATCAGGAAATCCAGGCCTAAGAGAAGTTTAAACTGTTCCATTCAATCTCAGTTGATCCTTTAGTCTGGATCCCAATTACAATGCATTTCAAGAAAGATTTTTAGCAATTAGATATGCAACTGGGTGCCTGTACTGTGAGAAGGTAAGTAAAGCAGAATCAGGCTCTGAAAGTTTACTGCCGTGGGACCACTCAGCAAACTTTAATCTTGTACAGAGGTTCCATAGACATGAGAAACAATTATTTATATTGTATAGTGGAAAAGCAAGTGGCTCTATCATCACAGGATGATAGGATCATAGGAGAGCAGGGCTGGAAGAGACCTCACAAGGTCATCTAGTTAAGCCTCTGCTAAAGGCAGGATCACTGACTACCCCATCCCAGCCAAGTGTCTGCCTAACCTGCTCTCAGAAACTTCCAAAGATAGAGATTCCATATTTTCTCTAGATATTCTTTGTCAATGCTTGACCACCCTCATACTCAGAAAGTTCCTCCTAATCTCTAACTTAAATTTCCACTGCTGCAATTTGAGGACATTGTTCCTAGTCCTACAGTCACAGAGAAAAGCCCTTCTGCACCCTTTCTGTAATCACCCTTCAGGTATTTGAAGACTGTTATGAACCCCCACCCCTCATCAGTCTTCTCTTCTCCACACTAAACCCTACTTCTTTCAGCCTTTCCTCATAAGTCTTGCTTGCCAAGTCCCTAACCATATTTGGTGCTCTGCACCAGGATCTGCTGTGTTACCCTCCCAGAAGATGTTCTGGTAATTAATATCCCTCATGAGAACCAAATCCTGTAATTTGGAAGTTGTCAGTTATTTAAAGAAGGCTTCATCCACCTCCTCCTGGTTTGGTGACCTGTGGCAGACACCCACCATGTCAACTCCCCTGCTGCTCTCCCCTCTGACTCATGAGGCCTACGTTCTACTTCATACCACACCACAGAACCCATGTCCATTGACTTATATATACACCTCCTCCTTTTTTCGCCCTGCCTATCCTTCCTGAACAAGCTGTACTCATCTATGGCCATACTCCAGTCATGTGAACTACCCCACCACACCTTTGTAATCTGAATTACATTATAATTCTGTATTTGTACTAGAACCTCAAGTTCTTCCTGTTTGGTCTCATTAGTATATAAATAGTTCAGGACTTACTGTCTGATCCTCTCCCTGAGAACATGGCTAGGGCTTCTCTTACTGCTTCCCTTTATTTTATTTTATTTTTTTAACCTCCAGGCTGTTACCTCTGGGCTTTTGTCTCTCTGGTGAACCTAGTTTTAAAGCCCTTCTTGCTAGGTTAGCATTAGCAAGCCTCCAAGCAAAGACAATCTTCTTTGTCTTTGTCAGGTAGACCCCATCTCTTCCCCACAGTCCATCTTCCTCGAATATCACCCCATGGTTGAAGAAGCAAAAGTCCTGCTGGCAACCCCATCTATGCAGCCATGTATTGATCTCCAGGATACATCTGCTCCTAGATGGGCCTTTACCCTTGCCTGGCAGAATTGATGAGAATACCTGGGCCTCCATCCCTTTTACCCTTGTGCCATGTAGTCACTTTTGATCTCCTCAGGATCACCCTTGGAAGTATAATTAATGCTCACATGGATGAGCAGCGTGGGCATTTACTGTGGAGCTGACTAATTAGCTCTGCAATAAAGTCTCAGCATCTACATGTGCAGTGCTATTAGGATGGAGTAATTAACTCTGCCATAGGTTAGTATTTGTCTACACATGGTGCAGATAGAAGTTACAGGTTTTTTGTGTGATCTGCCCCCTGAAAACACTCTACAGCTGTGCCATGACACTGCAACATTTTCTAGCCATCCTGTTTGATTCTCCTGCTAGCTCTTGTGCTGCTACTTTGCAAAGATTCTCACTTCCTCCTTTACCTCCTTCTACTCAGCAGCTGAAGGAACAGTAAAAAGGAAAGTATCCACACAAATTCCCCAGGGAAGTCCCCACTCAAATTCTCACCCAAACTCTCCTGTTTTCTGGCCTGTGGGATGGTCCTGTGCCACAAGTTCCAGTCCTGTCCTATCCTGGCACATGTATATAATTCAAAACACAATTAATTCCTTTCCACTTAGAACCTGTGAGCTCCAATCTCATAGCACACTGTTTGTCTTTCTGGCCATGTTATTGCCAAGAGATTCCAATTTAATATTTCATTCACCTCCAGATTCAATAACTGAGGTGTATACCATAATGATAAACAGATGGACATTTCAAAAACAACTTTAGCCATAAACAAATACATGAAAAAGGGAGATACTACCTTAACTCCTGAATATTCTTGCTCATTGTGACTGTCTGCAAAACATAATGAGCATCTTTATTTTTTAAGCTTTTACAAATCTACTTTGTTTCTCAGTCAAATGAATTTTGAATGGATGCAACTAATGCAATAGGAATACATTTAAGAATATATTCAACAATATAATAAGGAATAGTTGTTTATATGTGTTATAAAATTAGCTTGGTTTGATCAGTATTACTGTAAAGTGGACTTTGAACAAACGCAACTGTATTTTTTCTAACATCAGCCATTCTTTCTCTCTCCTAGGAAATACTGTTTTCAACTGAATAAAACAGCAAATTTTGCATAGTCACTTTTCCTCATACAAGTGACTTCAGACAGTACATTTTGTGCTGCAAATTAACACTGCAAGCTAGATTTTTATAACTATCTGCATAGATTACACCAGCCAAACCTGTGTGTTCAGAAACTGGGTTCCCAAATTTGAAAGGGTATTTGCACACAAAAGCTACTTGCACAGACACTTTAGCACACATTGGCTCGTCTTATGCATGTAGCATACATCTGGATGCCTGAACAAAGGTTCTGTGTACAAGCTTTGCTGACACGTTAGACAGCTCATTTTGAAAATCTGCCTACAAATAATCTGCACTCTGAAAATTTTTTATTTATGCACTCATGTGAGATGAATAATCTTTTTTGACAGAGGAACAAACTTCCACCCCTCCTCCCCCCATTTGTAACATTACACTGAAGTGATACTAAACAGGGGCACAAATGTCTGAACAGTTAAGACAAGGTTCTTTGGGTGAATCTGATATCTTTTATTAGACCAACTTAAATAGTTGGGGAAAAAAATTTTAGCAAACTTTTGGGTTTAAAAACCCTTTGTTAGGCTGAGGAAGTGTCTGCAGTTGGTGTGTGCACAGTTAAGATGTCTCACTTTAGTTCTGAAGATATAAACTCAAGCCCTGTTCTAGACTGATATCAAAGTACATACATCCCTAGGTGACTCAGCTGTAAATGGAGATCTGGTCACTTAGGCTGGGAGTCAAAGGTAGCTGGATGTGATGCTGGCCACATCAATCCCTAGGCTAAAACTGGCACACTTTAACTACACTAGACCAATGGGCCACCAGGCTTGGACAGACTTTCTTAGATGGCAAACAGTATATGCATCTGTCTGGTAAATTTCTATTCCATTTTGAAAAGGCTGGATTAATTTTAGAAAGAGGTAAAAATCAGCTGTGGAATAATCTACCTATGCCAAAGATACATTTGGTTCAGAGTCTGTTTCCAGGAATATAAAAGATGAGAGTGCTTCATTCCAATGCCTAGGTGTTGGGGTGCACAAACTCCACACTGACAAAAAATGGTTAATGTAAGCTGATAGCTCAGTTAACTCTTTTAGTTACCAGACACCATGTACAGCTAAATCAGCAGGCACACTTACTCACCTTTTTGTCTTAAAAGGAGGCTGGGAAAACTTGGGAGTCAAGTCCTGTGTAAGAAAGGAAAGCTAAGGCTTTGCTGGCTTACTGCTTCCATCCCATGCCAGTTGGTCCTTTCACTGCTGTTCTGAAAGAAAAACCAGAACTTGGAAATGCGTCCAAGAAGAGGTAGACACTCAATATAGGACAGCAAGAGATGGTTACATTGAATTTTTGCTTGTTTGGAGGCTTTTTGAATGGAATTGCTATTTGGGGACCCCAGGGAGAAAGTCTTGAAGGAAGCAATCTAAGTTTCACCTCATCCAGGGCAGATTCATGCTATGGCAACTTCAGAGACAGAAACTTTCCCTCGGGAAGTGAACATCTCCCTTTCTCACTCCCCACTTTTATGTTCTGTGCTCACTTGTCTGTCTCTCTCCCTCAGGACATCCCTGGGCCTGCTTCACCCACACACTGCTTTGCTCTTAGGAATATGCGACACCACAGATTTACTGGTGTTACCCTGGTGCTAACTTGCTTGGTGGAGAATCAGGTTGCTGAACTCCCCTCCGAGCAGAGCTGCCAAGCTTGGGCCTACTCACAAAGCAGAGAGTGAGAGAGAGCACACAGGTGTATGAAGCTCCCTCCCTCCCCTGTGCCACGGGTTGTGTGAGTTGGCAGGACCAGGACCTATTTCTTTGCCCCCTCTGGGCTCAGAGGCTGTGAAGAACTGTCTAGTGCCCACCCCTGCTCCCCCTTCCCCTTGAGCCCAGCAACTGCGAGGATGGGGGAGGTGGCTGTGTGGGGGTGTAGGGGCCCGTGAGCCAAGGTTGAGGACCAGGGGACAGAGGGGAAGTGGGGTGGCACAGGGGTAGGAGCAGCAGCTGGATGGCACTTGTATGTGTATGTATGGGGGCAGGGAGTCAGTGAGAGTCTGGTGAGAGGGGTGCCCACCCCACAAGGGATTTAGGGGAGCAGGAAGACTTTTGGATGTGGGAGGCAAAAGGGTGCCTGGCAGGGGCCAGGATTGGGGCCTAGCATTGGCTCAGCAGGGATTTCTGTCTAGTGATGGAGGTGGGGCTAGGATAGCGCTGGGGTTGGGGGGGCCAGTGAGGGACCAAGGGCTATAAAGCCTGGGGGCACCTGGGCACGGCAGCCAGGGGATGGAGGATATCAAGTGCCCTGACCCCTGGGTGTTTCAGTGCCCCCCTCCCCTCCCCCACCCACGCCAGTCACTCCTCTGACTGCTGGGATCCTCAGAGGGAGCGTGGAGGCAGAGAGGCTGCTTGGCAACAGGGCAAGCTGGCGACGCAGCCACCCCCAGTGGCAGGGAGGAGGTACTGCAGGGCATCAGTGCCACCCCCACAGCCATTTGTCCATAAGGTGCCAGGGGCCTGAGTCACAGGGCCTGTGTGGGAAGGGCCCCATGACTGTGTACTGGGTGCAAAATCCGTTTCATTGTCTTGGGGTATTTTAGGCAAACTCAGAAGTTGAATCTAGCTGCTCCCTGAGGTTTGTCTGGAGGGTTTCTTCCTTCAGGAGCTGGCAACGCTTCCCTGAAGTCCACGCATATCCACAGGGGTAGAAAAGTGAAAAAAAATCCAGTGGGGAAAAAAAACAGAACCCTCCCCCAGCTTTTTCTTCAGGAAAAAATGGAAATTGGTGGGGAAAGGAATGGACGTGGAACTTCGTTTGCTCTGAATGAACAGGGAAAGAATTTTTAGAGGAATATTTAAAATGATATGACGACTGCTGCACATCGGTCCTTCAAAGTGCTTTGTGTTAACTAGTAAGCATTTCTAGTGAGGTTGACTTTTATTTCAAAACTGGTAGTATTAGGTGATTATAATGTCTAGGCACTGTGAGGCTTTATACAGTCTAAGCAGCATATAGTAGGCTTATTTACCCAACAGGAGTGTGTATGGAAAGCAAGGGTGTAGGTTGTAGCCATGTTGGTCTAAGGACATAGGTAGACAAGGTTCTTTGGGTGAATCTCATATCTTTTATTAGACCAACTTAAATAATTGGAATTTTTTTTTTATGGTGAGCAAGAGCAGCTAATTCTTCTAGCTCAGTGGTGCTCAACCTTTTGGCCCCACAGGCTGGGTGAGTGGCAAAGGGCTGGTCCACAGGCTGGATCTACCCTGTGCACCAGGATCAAACCCTGCACACCAGGGGTGCCTGTACATGAGCAGCAAGTTTGTTCCAACACGCTGCAACTGCAGTGCACCAGAGCAGACTTAATAGAGTCTCCTGGAGCATGGTAATTGCTGCGTTCCAACAGCTGCCAGCATCTCATGTATCAGCATCCCCGTGCTTAAAAATGGCAATGAGGATGCTTTATCTAAGGTTCTTGGAGCTTTAAATAAAGCACCTCTGCCACCATTCTGAAGCATGGGGATGCTGATACATGAGATGCTCTGAGTGCTTTAATTATAGCAGCTCTCAGAACCGCTTTAATTAAAGCCCCCCCACACACACTCCTGGAGCATGTGTATAAACACCCCAGGACTGCCCCCTGTTCTGCCCCAGCCCAGACCTGAGGACCAGAATTGGGTCCCATGTTACCCTTTCCCCAGGGTCTCCTCACAAGTCCAGAAATTGGCAGCAGGTGGGCTGGATCTGACCCTCAGGCCAGGAGATAAGCTCCACTGTCCTAGCAGCTGTGCTGTTAGCAACCCCCAAATTAACTAGGTCCTGTCAATTTCAAGGTGGCAGTTAAACAATAAATAATGAAACAAACAATAATGTGAAAACAGCAAAGCACACTAAGTCACAATATCATAATCATTAATGAGGTGCTAAGAGCTGGCTGTTCTGCCAGAAAATAGCAGGCATGCTTAAACTAGTTTAAGCACTGCCTTTAATAATGAAATCAATGAGATTTGGATGAGGCTGGTTCCTTGTTCCCAATTCCTTATTTCCAATTCTGTTTTCAAAGCTAATCTATACCCAATAAAAGCTTGTTGTTTATGAATTACACTTTCTAAAGAGAGAGAATTTCATCAACTGTGTACATATTACTAATATGTAAAATAATATCCTGCATCAAGTACAGAGCCCTAAAAAATAAATATCAGATTAGGATGGGATTATGGTGCAAAACACTTCTTGGTCCACCCCAGACTGCACAGCGCTGCCAGCAGGGGGCTGCCCTGAAGAACCCAGAGTGCAGTCCTGCCTGGCCCAAATGCAGTGGCCCTGCCAGGCTGTCAACTGACAGTCCCCTCTATGCCCACTATACTAAGTATATGGACTTGAATAAGGAATTGGCTTTTGGGCTGGGATGATGGCTGGAAATCCTTTCTGAGCCATTCCACACTATGCCTCTATGGCACCAGAAGAACCCTAACCAGAGTCTTCCCTGGCCCAAAGTGCAGTTTGGCCATGCCAGGCTGCTAACTGACAACCCAACCAGTCACTGTATTAAGTATATGGGCCAGATTTTTCCAGATCTGCAAACCTGGGGGAGATCACCACTAACTATGGTGTCCAGGCTCAGCTGGATAAAATAATCTTTTAATTATATCTGGGTAGTATGGAAGTGAGGTTGTTATATTACCTGAAGGTTAAATTGCCTGAGGATAATTAGGTGTTTCTGACCTTTTAGCATTTCAAATGTAGTCACTTGACTCCAAGACCTCCCCTAGCACATGGCTAGGGGCCAGGGGTGGTGACAGTTTTTCCATTGTCTCCTGTTCCGGTGACCTATCTTGCTGTTTTGGGCTTTGTGATCCTTCTGCTCACTTGGTGGTGAACTTTGGTTTGTCTATTATTTAATTTTGAGTGTCAAAAGGTGAGAAAATTCCTTGCAAAAATGTAAGGGGAAACACTGGTTATGAGGAGGATATAGTCAGGGCCTTCCTGCATGAATTGTCATGGTTAGAGAAAGAAAGGAGAAATCATTTTGAGGCTGCATAGCTGTTAGGCTTCATAGAAATGCACTGAAATTCAGAAAATGGCTCTGTAATCTCTGGCATGAGGATAGGAGGGGCTTGAAATCTAAGACATTAAATACAACTTCAGTGGAAATCTTACTGTGTGCGCAAGCAGCCTGAGGGTTCAAGCTCTTATGTGCAGTGTGATTCAGTGTAATGATTGGTTTCACCCTACACGCTTGGGGTTTCAATCTGCTCAGGATATTGCTGACATAACACCATGGTTTTGTCCCATATGTGAGGCTACATTGACTAGTAGAAGCTTTGCTGAAGTACCAGACAAGACCAAGGGTCTTTCCTTTTGATTAAGAAGTGGTTCCTGAACCTCCCCATTTTCCCAAATCTGGAAGTATACTCAGGAAAGACAATGAAGTTTCCCTTAAATCCACCAGTACCTCTGCTGCAAGGTATAGTAATCAGGTGAATAATGAGGGCAGGAAAGATTAAACTATTTCTCTAAATGATGAAGAAAAGGATTTACTACAATAAAAACAAACAGATTTTCAGGTCTGAATCTACAACTGACTATCAAGAACCTGTTGATAATTCTTGCTTAAGTTGGTGCTGTGAGGCAGGGACTTACATTAAGGGTGCAGCTACTCCAGTAAAATATTTTCACAGATGTGTGTGTTTCAGGTCTGGGAGGCATAACTAAGTCATCTTTTCACACTCTTCTATAACACTATGCAAAACCCTACATTCATTTTTGGAAATGATATAAAGATGGGCACAGCATTGTTGACTGGTTGGCACTTCAGAAAACCACAAGGGAAAAAGTGGGGGACCAATATAGCAGGCCAAGTACACCTATAGGAGTAGAAATTTTACAAGAAATTGATAAGCAGTCATCCATCAACCTTGACGCTGAACCCTATCCATCAAATTGCTTCATTGTGTTAAGGAGGGTAATCTTAACTATTTGATGTCATTGATCACATTGAAGTACATGTTTTATATTTTAAATACAGCTTAGATTATCAGCAAACTCCAGAATGCCCTTGTTGTATGGGTGAAAGATAGACACCCCTACCCCATGCCCTGTTGAGTTCAAGGGTGACTTATAAATGTTTAATATTGGGGGACACAAGGTAGCTCCTAGAAAACTGTGTGGCCTAATGGCTAAGGTGTCTGACTTCCATTCAGAGGGTTTGAGTTCCTCAGTGGTCTTTTTTTCCACCTTAAGTTATATAATGTTCAACCTGCAGCAGGGTTGAGCAAGGGAGGGGGAGAGAGCAGCCAGGCCCAGTTCTGTTCCCCTGCCTTTGCCTGTGCATCTGGGGGACACAGGCAGGCAGCCATCAGGAGAGGCTGCTAAAAAGTCTGACTAGCAGCTCAGAAGCAGAGCTCCCCAGAATGGCATGGCACTACCCTGGGGCTGGGGGGGAGGGTGTGGTGTTGATCTCCACCTCAGAAACTAAATAAACCCCCCACCTCAGAAACTAAAGGAAGAAACCTCACCTACCTGCCTGCTGTGCTGGGCCAGCTGTGAGCCCAGTGTGCCCCTCCCCACTGCTGCAGCAGCCTGCAGCTGGTTTGCCCTGGCATTTGAGGGGGCTGAGCCCTGTTAGCCCCCGCTTCCGCCACCCCCAGCAGCCGATCCCTGCTGCCAGTGGAAGTGCCGCCAGCACCTCTCTCAGGGGGGGGCACAGCCAATCTCAGGGGGGGCACATGCACCCTCTACCCATCACCAATGCAGAAAAACCTTGCTATGGTCCCAGCAGGACTGTACTTGGGTTTCTCTGGGAGAGTCCCCCCAGTGGCAGAGAGGCATGGTATGGGGTGGCCCAAAAAGGATTTCCAGCTGTAATCCCAGCCCAAAAGCCAGTTCCTTATTCCAGCTCATATACTTAGTACAGTGGGCATAGGGGCTGTCAGTTTATGCCTGGCAGAGTCAAACAGTGCTCTGGACCAGGCAAGACTCTGGGCAGGGATCTCTGGGAGAGTCCCCCAGTGGTACAGAGTTATGGTGTGAGGTCACCCAAAAAGGATTTATAGCCATAATTCCTGCCCAAAAGCCAGTTCCTTATTCAAGGCTATATACTTAGTTCAGTGGCTGGGGGGCTATGAGTTATCAGCCTGACAGTCACTGCACTTTGGGCCAAGCCAGACTCTAGTCAGATCTCCGAAAGAGTCTCCCGATGACACAGAAAGGATTTCCAGCCATAACCCCACAGCCAAATTCAATATTTGAGCCTATAACTTTAGTACAGTGGACATGAGGGGTTGTCAGTT